ATATATATATATACGTATATGTGTGATTTTATGCAGGGAGCCCGCCCTGTAGCAGTAATTCTGCTATAGGGCGGAGCTAAAGTGGTTAAGCATACAAGGGTGCGTTCGTCCCTTGGAATGGAATAGAACAGATGTCATCTATTTACATTTCTGTTTGTCCGTCTTTAGGCAAAAGAATGTTTTATACTTTTTTCACCTTTTGATTGGTCTCTGCAACAACTGAGTAAAAAACGTGCAAAAACAGATGTAAACTGAACTGAAAACTGATGTAAACTGAGTATGTTTTTTCCTTTTTTAAAAAATGTGACTGATCAGATGATGCTGGTGTGAAAGGGGCCATTGGATGCTGTTTTTTTCTGGCATTTGCCTTCAACAGACTGCTAAACGCTCTGACCAAAAGCCAGTCAATTCCTGCTGAACTGGCCGATTTTCCTGCACAGAGTAGAAGGCTTTTTCTGCTACCCCAACAAAAATTTTTATTCTTTTATTTGGCAATCCTGGTATAGTTGGCTCTCCATTAATAAAGTTGATGGAAAATGAAGCTTGACTGACCCAGAGTGGGCCAGGGGTAATGAAGGTCATGGTTCCGTAATTCTACCATAGGCTGATAGAGAGAGCAATCTGTAAAGTATAGCTAAACCCAAAAACAGAAGTGTTATTTAGTGCAGCTTACAAGTCTTTAGATGTGGTGGTCGCATTAGTTTTTTCTTTTTCTTCTTTTTTTTTTTTTCCTGACTTTTTTTCTCAAGTCATCTTCCAGGGCAGCATCTGAGAGTTCTTGTGTTTCTTCCGGACCAACAGGAATCAACACACGTTATTTTGTTTCAGGCTATTATGTTTTTTGCGGTTGCCTCCCTGCCCTACTGCCTGTAGACTGAAGCATGGTAGCCTGATACAAAAAAAAAAAAAAATAAACGTGTGTTAGTCTGGAGGAAAAACAAGGACTCTCAGATGCTGTCATGGAAAACCTCATACTGTATATAGAGGTGCAGTGTTGTCAGGACACAACTACAACTGTCTTCTGTTCTCCATAACAGGAGGCAGGTATTTTGTGCTTCACAGAGATAACTGTTTAATAGTCAGCAGAGGCAGAGCACACAGAAGGTTTTCAGCTGAATACATTTTTGTCAGGATCATTAGGTTCTTATTTAGCACTTATCAAAAATGTAATAAAATGCTTACAATTGGGGGTTTCAACATGTTAATTGTAATCTACCTGTCAATCGCAGGCATGTGACAGGTAGATTATAACCAGCGTTTCTATGCCGCCAGTTTCTGTCGCTGCCCGTCACCTCTCAGACCTCAGGTGAAGCAGCAATTTGTATGCAAAGCTGAGGAAAGTCCGAGTGGAAGAAAACGATCTCCATTTGCCTGCAGCAGAGTAGGAATGAGGTAGGAGTGCTTGCTGGAGGGGGAAGGGGGAGAACAGGTTTAAGGCGGTTCAATCTCCAAAGCATTTTCTTGAACTCTGTGTAGTGTTCAGCTGCAGGTCCACCGCAGTAATTACACCAGTCTTTCTAATGATGTTATTTCTGTACAGATGTCTTGCATGGCACTGTGCAATATATATTACTAACTTCTACTGACCTCTGAACTTTGCATGACTTGTTCCTAACTTCTGAACTCTGCATTACTACTAACCTCTGAGCTTTTGTATTAACTTACTCCTGACTTCTGAACTCTGCATTACTGCTGAGCTTTGCCTGTTTACTCCTAACCCTTGTACTCTGCATCACTTAATCCTGACCACTGAATTCTGCATTACAACTGAACTCTGTTACTTACTCCTGACCTCTGAGCTTTGCGTTACTGTTGACCTATGAACTCTGCATTACTTAATTCTGACCTATGAACTCTGCATTTGCACTGACTTTTGAACCCTGTATTATGTACTACAGACCCCTGCATTCTGCATTGCTTACAACTGACCTCTGGACTCTTTGTTACTACTAACTTCTGAACTCTGGTTTACTTACTCCTGATCTGTGAACTCTGCATTACCTTTGACTTCTGAACTTTTAGTTACTCCAGACCCCCTGAGCTCTGCCTTACTTACTGCTGACCCCTAAACTTTGTGTTACTTCTGATCTCTGAATTCGTTAACTACTGACCTTGGAACTTTGTGTTACTGCTGAACGCTGCATTACTACTTACCTCTTAACTGTGTTACTACTGACCTCTGAACTCTGCTTTACTTACTCCTCAACTCCTGCTTTACTACTGACCTCTGAACTCTGCTTTTTTTTTACTCCTGAACTCTGCTTTACTACTGACCTCTGAACTCTGTGTCATTTACTTTTGACCCCTGAACTCTTCAGACTTTCCTTACTCTTGAGTAGGTTATCTCCGTTAAAAGAAAAAAAGTGTGCTGCACCCTGGTGATCCTTCATCTCTTCCACGTTGTTCAGTTAGATCTTCTTCACCTCTCCAGGGATACCTACCTCTGTTTAAGGTGTTTATTCAACAGACCTAAATTTACAAATAATTTTTTCTCCCATGTCTACACGTGTTCAGACTCCTTCAGATGGCTTTAGGGCTCATGATTTTATCCTCTCGATGTCTTTTTGTATGATTGTCCAATCTAAAATACAGAATACAAATATACATAATATATATAAATTTCCATAAATAATTGGACAGTGATGCTGTTTTCATAATTTTCTTTCTGTATGCCAGTACAGTGGATTTGAAATGAAGCCAGCAAGGTGTGATTGTAGAAGTGTTGCGTTTCAACAATAATTCACGGGGTCTAGCAAATATTGCATGAACCCTTTAGGAATTACCAACATTTTTCTACATAGTCTCCTCCCCCCCCAGTCATTTTCAGAGACTCATAGGTAATAGGACAAACTAACCTTATCATAAATATAATGATGTATTTAAATACTTTGTGAAAATTATTTGCAGTCAATGTCTGCCTGATGTCTGGAACTTATGCATATCACCAAATGCATTGATGTTCTTCATGAAAGGAATTTTGCTACCATCCAGCATAGTTGTCTTTTGCAGTCATCTAGACCTTTTGAGTGTTGAATGCTTTACTGGTCCCTACTGTTGCGTCTTGCAGTGACATACATAACTACAGCACTGTGCGGGGGGGGGACCAGAAATATGACACTCCAGGAAGTGTTTTGGATAAAAAGGATTCATTGGACACAGTGGCTCTTGAAGAGCACTAAAATCGTAGATGTGTGAATGGACACCCAGAGCAGCAGCTCGGGAGCAAGCCTGCTTGGGTGCCCCCTGCAAGCTGCTTGCTGTACGGGCACTTGGCAGGAGGGAGGGGCCAGGAGCGCTAGCGGGGGTCCTGAGAAGAGGAGGATCAGGGCAAAACCACTTCACAGAGCAGATAAGTATGACATGCCTTTAAAATCACTAAGTAAAAGATAATTTTTGAGTAAGATAACAATTACCAAGAACTGATAAATTAAAGTATGCTTAATTTTTGCGTTTGGGTTTAGTTATGATTTAATTCACATTTTTAGAGTGTATGTAATCAAGATTTTGTATCTTTTTGTCTCTTTTAGGTCTGTTTAATATACCATCAAAAGCTTATTGTTATGTTTGTTTACTAAGTGCAAATATCTGATCCTTCAAGAAATCTTGTCAGCTGATAGCTTCATGTGCATCTGTTACAATGTGTTCCCCCTTTACCTTTGGGGGACTACTGAACCCCTCTATCTTAAATCTCAACTACTGTCTCTTGGTGTCATCACACCCAATACAGGGCGGTTTTCCCCCGCATTGGTATTGATGACGTCAGGACCTTAGACCACGCGAGTGTGGGGGGGAAGATGCAGTAGGGACCAGTCTAGCTGCACAGAGTCTCCTAAACTGAAATAAACAATTGCACTTGCATTGTAGGTGCACCCCTCTGGAACGGATAATTTATACATTTTCCAGCGTTGAGCAAGAAAAGGGAAAGTTATTTTATGTTCATCCTAGCGTGGCCATACTGCTTCTCCATAGATACAGTACTAGGAGTAAGCTACTTGGTGTTCATAGTTTTGTACATGCCATGTCTGAGCCTAGTGCTTCTCTACCCTCTCAGATCTTTTTAGGAGTAGGACAAAGCAGTGTATAACTCTCATTATTTTGTAAAAGGATTGCATGTTGAACAGTGCAGATAATGCACATAACCAAAAGCTAGAAATGGCAGAGGGTGGGAAAGCCTTTCCCAATAAAGTGTGTTACTTTAGTAACTCTGCGGTGGGAAGGGCCTGCAACTTCCAATTTTCCTCACATGCCCTCTTGTGCATGGGTTTAGTACCCTTTCCTTTTCTTTTTTTTTTCTTTTCTTTTTTTCCTTTTTTCTTTTTTTCCTTCTTAATTTAAGGGCACAAACACGACACAAAACCTACTGACACAATTATGGTTGCTGAAAAACGTGCACGAATGGTGAAAATAGCCAGCATTATACAGGTAACCATTAGTAAATCTAACAAACAGATACTAATCTGTTTACTAGGTGATGGACATTCCATTCATTTTTTATTTAAGCCAGAAAGAGAGATGGGGGGGGAGCATGAGGAATGAATGTAGGGCTGCATGCGGAAGGTAGAGACCTAGTAAGTGAAAAATTGTGGTTCAAGGTACTAAGACATCAATCACCTCATGCTCCCGGGACAAGATGTTTCAAGGGCTTGGGGCATGTAAACTTTAGTCAGTATAACCATGCAAAGTCCTCAACAGGTCTTCCATGGCTCATTGACCTTGGTAAGCCACAGCTGTATAGACTTTTACCATTCAGAGTGAATGCCCAGTACAGAAAAAGGCCACTGCCCCAGTCTATAACTGGCCTTCACAGCAAGGAGCACATGGAAGGACGACACATGTCAAACAACAACAAAAAGTTAGAGCTGGGAATTTTTCTTTTTTGTTGTTTGAATGCCCAGTACCCTGACCCAACTGATTTATATGTCCAATTATCTTGCGTAAGTTTTATACAAGATACAATTGAAGACTAAATCTGCAATTTTCCTTCACTTTTATATTTTTAGGTGGATTTGCATTTGTCTATGAAGCTCAGGATGTTGTTTCTGGAAAAGAGTATGCATTAAAGGTAACACATCCCTTTTTTTTTTTTTTTTTTTTTTTTTTTTTTTTTTTTAAATCTCGTCTAGACAAAATTGTGTTTTGTGTAAATGACAAACTTTTTTTAATTTTGAAATGAGCACAATACCTTTTTTGAAGAGGGCTTACAGTGGAAACTTCTTGGCAAGTATTCTAATTTTGGACAGAATTACTACACATTTTAAGATTTAAGTTTTTACATTCTTTATTTTACCAAGTAATCTAGTATTTCCCGGGTTATCAACAGATTTTTACATGGGCACATGTATGCTTGAGCCAACATTGAAAATGAAGGCGTGAGATGCACACAGTTAACAATACTCAAAGCTTCAGTTCTCGGAGTATAAACATGGCCATACACTATGCAATCTGAGGTGTGGTCCAGATAGGTGAACATGCCTCATCGCACCTTGTTCTGTGATGCAGCAGAAAAGTGCATACTGGGGTATGATTTACAAGAAGTGATAGAATCTAAAAACATTTTTAAATATCCAAACAGACAGAATAAAGTTAAAAGCTTCTATCAATGCCACACTAATAGAATCTAACTGTTAAACACTTCTATGATGGTACTTGGTTCCCACACGCCTTGCAAAAATACACCTATTGTATCGCCTTTCTGTTTTTGGTGCTGTGGGCAGGAGGAAACCATGTGTCACATCTGGTGCCAATGCCCTGTGCTGACTAGATTTTGGATCAGAATGTTTAACTTTATTTGCACAGTGACAGGAGTGAATATTCGTAGATTCCCAAAGATAGTCCTTTTTCAAACGTTACCTTTAGGCATTCCCAAAAAATTGACCATTTACATAATCCTGGCTGCAAGAATCACTATTGCTAAACATTGGAAACGATCGGTGACTATGTTAAAAATAAACTGAATTGGATCATAGTTAATGACAAACTCACCTGCATTCTCTATAAAAATATGGCAAAATTCGAAAGAACTTGGGATCCGTGGATTCACTACCTCTCTGTCCCTTAGATGGACCATGGCTGGCCCTCCTTTACTTCACTTTTTTTTCTCTTACTTTTTTTTTCTCAGTTTCTTTCTCATTCTTTCATCATACTTTTTTTGTTTACAATATTTCCTTTTGATGTATCTGACTTTAGTACCTGACTATTGTTTGGTCATGCTCATTATTAATCGTGTTTCATAGTGAAATATGTCTGTACGTTTGATCTTTTCAATAAAAAGATTGAAATATAAAGTTAAAAGCTGCTATAGATGAGGTAAGTGGGAAATAAGAACATTAGGAATGGCTGGGCCAGAAATTACATCTATTTATTATGAAAAATGAACTTCTGCCCAAAAAGGTGAACTAAGCCTTTAGTCCAGACTTCGTTATAGTTCATCAGACCACCAGTTATTCATTTAATGTATATTAAGCCTAAGTGCATTACGCTACTTTTTATTGGTTTCAAGTTTAATTGGTTGTTACATTTTAGATTAATCACCACATGTTCATTGTGTGTTTTCCTGCATTTTAAATTGCTGTTTGTATGTGAATACTATAGAAAGAATTGCAAAAATATTTGTTATCATTTACAGCGATTGCTGTCCAATGAAGAAGAAAAGAATAAGGCGATTATTCAGGAGATCTGTTTTATGGTATCCTTTTTATTACATGAATGATTGTATAGGATATTTGACACTGTAAGTAGAAGATTTTTTTTACATGCGCTACCAAATGCATTGCCATTTAAAAAACGGGTAGTTTGGACCATTTGCTTCATAATGAGTCTTGAGAGGAGGAAGTGGGTATGAAAAAGAAGCTTATTTCCAGTGTGGTTATGCAGATTCTAAGCCCAGTGAATAAGCTGTAAATCTGAAAACAAATAGTGGTATCACCTTCCTTTTACATGAATATATAGGCCTTAACTGAGTCAGAGTTGTGTGAATCCCACTGCGCTGCAGGGAATCAGGTGTAATACCTCACTCCTTGCTCGGGCAGGCTTCTTCCATTTTATGAGACCAATTCCCAAACAACTTTCTCTCAAGTGCACCATGCATTGTATATGAGAACAGTGAGGGACCCACAACCCAGAGTGGAGGAGAGTGCTGAAGCAAGGAGTAAGCTAAGTTTTAGGGTCCTTTTTAACACAGGCTTTCCGTCTTTTTCATCAGTTCAGTCACATTTTTTGTAAAGAAAAAAATGGATCAGTTTTTTTATATGCTCTACCAATGCAAAAATTACCCATTTGTCCATTTTTACATCCGTTTTTCTTTCATTCTCTTTTTTTAATGGAACAAAAATTGGGGTTTTGACTGTTCCAAAAAACGGATATTGATGGATGTGGATGTAAATGGATTTTTTTTCCATAGAGATGCATTGATATCCATTTTTCATTCAACGGATGAATGAAAAACGGACAAATGGAACACCCACGTGTCGCTTGAAAGGACCCCAACATCTCATTCCTCTCCCAGAGTTAACCACTTGACCTCCAGAGGATTTACCCCCCATAATGACCAGGCCTCTTTTTGCTACTCGGCGCTGCACTAATTCAACTGATAATTGCGCGGTCATGCAATGCTGCACCCAAACGAAATTTTTTCACGCTATAAACAAAAAAAGGCCAAAAATTTTGAAGAAAAAAAATATTTTTTACTTTCAGCTATAAAAAAATATATAGTAAACTCAAAGTTGGTTATAAATTTAGGCCAAAATGTATTCTGCTACATGTTTTTGGTAAAAAAAATCCCAATGAGTGTATATTGATTGCTTTGTGTGAAAGTTATAGCGTCTACAAACTATGGTATAGATACTGCAATTTACGCCATTTTTTTGCTATACAGCGCTGCGCTAGTTTAATGGACAATTGCGCAATACGCAATATGCAATACGATACATAAATGAAATTTACATCCTTTTTTTCCCCACAAATTGAGCTTTCTTTCGGTGGTATTTGATCGCCTGTGCGGTTTTTATTTTTTGCGCTATAACAAAAAAAGGCTGACAATTTTGAGGACAAAAACAATATTTTGGACTTTTTGCTATAAAACATGTCCAGTAAAAAAAAAATTTAAAAATCAAATTTAGTCATAAATTTCTGCCAAAATGCATTCTGTGACATGTCTTTGCTAAAAAAAAAAAAAAAAAACCCAATACGTGTAAATTAATTGGTTTACGTGAAAGTTATAGCGTTTACAAATGGCGGGAAAGATACTGGGATTTTTTAGTTTTTTTTATACTAATAATGGCGGCGATCAGCGACTTATGGCGGCGATCAGCGACTTATGGCGGGACTGCGGCGGACATTCTGACACTGGGGGGGTACTGACTTGGGGTCACTGACATCCCCAGTGACACCAATACAGTGATCAGTGCAAAAAAAAAAAACACAGACACTGTACTAATGGCACTGGGGAGGAAGGGGTTAAGTTTATTTTGCAGGGAAGGGTTATCTGTGTGAGGGGGAGTGTTTTACTAGGGGGCAGGGGGTGTGTACTGCAGGGGACACGGCTGATCGGGAGAGTGAAACTCTTCTGTCCCGATCAGCTTGTCCTCGAGCTGTCAGGGAAGTGACAGAAAGCACAGCTACTGCAGCTGTGCTCTCTGTCACTGATTGCCACCGATCGCCGGGAGATAGCCGGTAAGGACCAGCTGTGACCCGGCGACTGACATCCGTGGCTGTGATCGGCGGGACAGGTAGGGCGGCGGAGCGCCTCGCGCGCGCCCCCTACCTGTTTACAAAACACACGTTTTAAAACGTGGCTTTGCCTGCCCGTGCCGCCCTGCCGCCGTATTTCTACAGTGGTAGGGCGGCAAGTGGTTAATGAGCCTTTAACCCTTACAGTGCAAGGGGGCCCACTACTAGGGTAGTGTGTTTTTTTGTTTTTAATTCCCTGAGTTGGGCTTTAAGATACAGATCATTTTTTGAACATACCCCCGTTAACAAACATTTGTTTTTTCTTTTTTGCTCCAGAGAAAAAAAAAAAAAAGTATAATCAACCTTGTTCACTGCTAATGTTCCTTAAGCTATTGCTAACAGAAAAAACTATCTGGGCATCCAAACATAGTCCAGTTTAGTTCAGCAGCTTCAATAGGCAAAGAAGAATCGGATACTGGCCAAGGCGAATTCTTACTTTTAACAGAACTATGTAAAGGTGAATAAACGTGTGTTTCTATTATTGCATGGTCTGAGATGGCATTGAAGAAATAGTTTAAAATACTGTTAGTCATATCTTAGAGCCTGCAAAGACTTTGATATTTGAAAGATAGCCATTAGAATTTTAAGGGCACATTTATTAATTTCCTCTGTCAGTCCAGTTGAAAAGTATTAATTATTTACAAAGTCTTCTCATTATGATTATCTTAACTGACATACCCCTTTGGGTTTTTAAGATGACTATACTGCCAATTAGACCTCTACCCATCCCATTACCTCCTGAAGTGTTTCCTTATTTACTCATGATTGAGAAGAAGTAACACACACACACACACGTTAAAGTGTCTCTGATTTGCTATGGTATAGGGTGCTTAAAGAGAATTGTTAATTGTGCCCAAGCATTACCCTGAAAAATTACTTAATTTACTCTTTTTTTTATTTATTTATTTATTTATTTTTACTCTGAACCTCTTCCTAAAAATAGCAGAACAGTTCCTGGTCTGTGAAGATTTCCTAGGCACTTTGTCTTCAGCTTAATTGGTGTAGAACTGCTGTGTGAGAACTAAGGCACTGCTGCCTCTGAATGCTAGTCTCATGAGACTAGAGATTTGCACTATTGCAAATTCACTATTGTCCTGTTAATGATTGTCCTTGCTGGAGGCTCTGCAATAAGTAAGACAAGCCCTGCTTCAACCAAGATGGCTGCCTGCACACAATGCATACCAAGGCATGGGGAAAGATCAGCTGCAGGGAGGATACCTGCAGCACTGGTGACTGGGCTTTTGCCCTTTGTCTGTCTTTTTTTGGGCAGAGTTGAATTTGAAAGATTTTTGTGCACTGACCAGCACTTCTGATGACGTTTGGAATCATGAAATGTGACGTGATCCTCATCTAAGTCACAACAATAAACCAATACAATGTGCTTAAGTTGATGATGCCAAATATTTCTAATTTCTCATGTCTTTATTGAACACATTAAACATTCACAGTGAGTAAGTGAACCATTGAAGTTAATGGTTAAACCTGCTGATCGCTTTTGCAATGCTTTATAGGCTCCTGCAACCAAAAATACTAAATGCACATTTTTTTACCAGAAAAAATGTTCATTTATTATTTTTGGTCAAAAGGTGAACTTATCCTTTTAATAAATCTGTTTTGGTCTTACTGTTGTGAAGAAAATTAAATGACCAGGACTTTGTATAGTGTATAGCAGGGGTGTTACGATTAGAAGGTGGACTGGGGGAGGGATTCAGAGAGAGATTAAAAAAAATATAGTCTTCTGCTTTACTACAGATTTACAGAGAAGACAAAAATTAAATTATAGTTTGGTTTTTTTTTTCATGTTACCCAATTAAATTATGCACAATGCGTGTTTTTAATTTAATTGACATCTATGTCTGGGTAAATTAATATATAAAGTAATTATATAAATGTGCTTCAATACATGTGCATTTCCATGCCATTGTGTCTCTAAAAACACATTAAATACAGAAAAAACACCTGTTGATCCTGCTAGAAATTCAGTGAGCTTGTACCTTTCTGTGTACTCCCTGTGCTGCACTGAATTCTCAGGTGGTATTAGACCTGCCCGGTTTACCTGTTATGCAGATAAGGGGAAGGGATGTTTTGCAGTCCAAATAAGGAGCGAGATACTCAGGGGACAACACTGCTCCCCTGTACAGTACAGTGAGCATTGTCACTCTAGAAACAGTAAGTGTGTGTTCCTGGATCATCAAGTTTATATAAAGGGGGATAAAAAAAATAAATAATAAACTAATGCAACCCAAGGACTTGTAAGCTAAAGTGGATTACATTTTTGTTCTTGGGTTTAGATGAACTATTTGGTGTTCCACAGGGCTGAGCACTGTCTTCTCACCCTCATGTCACAGCACGTGGTGTTTGAGCAGCCAGTCGCCAAGCACCTGTGCTGTCATGTAAGAGAACAAGGACAAGTGATTCACAAAGTTTACTTCTTGTGTTTCCTGATTTTTTTTTTTTTTTTTTTTTTTTTTTTTTTTAATATATTTTTAATTTTTTGCTTTCCATTCTACTTTAGGTCAGCTTGTGGAATTCTTGAACAGAGCTGAAAGTAAAGGACCACTGTCCTGTGATACCATATTGAAGATTTTTTACCAGACGTGTCGAGCAGTTCAGCATATGCACAAGCAGAAACCACCACTAATTCATAGGGATCTCAAGGTAAAATGTTATATGGACTTTCTGAATGTATTGGTGTAACTGTAAGGAAACATTTATAAACCCTAAAGCTGGCCAGATGTGGTTAGCCAGTTGAATGATTATAAAAAACAACATTCCACCACCCACACAACCGAGGTGGATGGAGGAATTCCTTCTTTTGGGACATTGGATTCTAACATCGGACTATGCACTGTCAGTATACATCGATTGGCTGCAGCCAGTGATCTACAAAAGTTTTCCAGCTTGTTCATTTAACAGAAGTCAATCTAAAAAACAGCTTTTTCTGAGGGATGCCCATACACTGGTCAAAACGTGGATGGTCCCTGCTAAACTGACTAAACTTCCCTACATATATGGTCAACTTAAGAAATGTCCTGGATTTTTCATTAGTGTTTTTTTTGATCTTCATTCAAGTCATTGGTAAATTAGTTTTATTATTTTTTTTTTTTTTTTAAATCAACTTTATGGGGGCCCATGTGGAACAGAGAGAAGGTAGGCATACCTCTGAAGGTAAGATGCAGCTTGGGGGTTACTTTGCTTTTTTTTTCCTTGGAAGTGTTGGAGCTTTGCCTGCCATTCATCCATGACAGGAGAGTCTGGGATGCTGCTGCATAGGGAATCTGCCATTGCTGTTCTTGTGGAAGCTGCAGTTGTACTTTACGCAAGCTGTAAAGTAGTAGTGCTGAGTAGTTGCTTTACTGCCCTGAAACTATTATGCAATAGTGCTAGCAACAGCGATGTCTCAACTTTCTTTAAACCGTTATTTTAGCATTTCCCTTTAATGCTCTACCAGAGTCAATTAATGCATAAGTATCGACAACCGAGTTTGTCACAAATATACAGTAGATGTGTATTTATACTTTTTATATGATTTGCTCTTTTTTGCCCTGTGTTGAAATGGATAAACACAGACAAAGAAAGGAGAAATAAAGTTGTTAAAGTGACTAAAAGAGAAGGATAGCCCAAATGTAGGGGCAGATTTTATGAAGTAAGATGCGTGTTGTAGTATGGTGGTGAGACAAGTATGGAGGCTGCCATTGCAGGTCTTCTTCTGAAAATGATAGATGCCTGGTTTTGTTTGACTCCAGTTCTTTTTATTATCAGGCCCAGAACAAGCAGGCTGTAAATGCATGTCAGAGAAGGGCAATAACCGTGTAGCTCTAAACTTGTGGGTCAGCTAAATGGATCGCATTAAGGACCCATTCACATGGGCACTCAGCCCAGTACAGCGTGAAGAGCTGTTTGTGTATGTTTTGTAGTAGTACTGAGCTGCATGCAGGCAGTCTGTGTAAGGGAATGGATGTGATTCAATTGTATAGATTCACCTGCACAGTTGAGTATGACAGCCCTCGATGCACAAGTTTTGCGTACATGTGAAAATGAGCTGTGTGGGTGAGTCCAGACAACCGAAGCATATCTATTCACTTATATAGGCTGCCTGCATGCAGCTCAGAGCTAATAGAAAAAGCTAATCAAATGGCTTTTCATGCTGTAACAGAGCTGAGCACCCATGTGAATGAACCTTTGAAGTCAAAGCATCAGAATGACTGATAACCAGGTGCTGGTTCAGCAATGACATCCTCCATTAATCTGACTGATTCCCTTTAAAAAATGGCTGCCTTTGTTCATTTCCATTACATTGCTGGTGAAGATATTTTAGTTTACATTGAGAGAAAATTACACTTCCAGTTTATCTGCCAGGAAGTGAAAATAACGTAACATTTCCAACATAACAGAAGACAACAGATTTTCTTCTGTACTCGCTGAAAGAGTTTTTAGCCTCAAGGCTGCAACTCCCACTTTTGGTTAACCTATTACATTGCTGTTCTTAGGTTTAGTTGTAATACTTAGAATTGTAACTAACAAGTAATCGCAGCTCCCTCTATCTGCCTTTGGAAACCGCCATAAACTTGCATACCATGGGGCCCGCAAGCACTTAATATGGAATTTCTTGACCATTGAAGGGTTTTGTTTATGTTTTGAACATATCTTATCTACTCTACACATGGTATACAATTTATTGGAGTTTTATGTGAAGACAAAATAAATGGGGATTTTTGTGGGTTCTTTATTAAAGAAAAAATATAAACAAATAGGCATATTATTCAGCTTTTGATATTCACTTTAAGTTGACATAAATTATGCACCATAAGTTTACATATGTTTTGTTTTCATGCAGGTAGAAAATTTACTAGTGAGTAACCAAGGAACAATTAAATTGTGTGACTTTGGTAGTGCAACTACCATTGCACATTACCCAGACTACAGCTGGACTGCACAGAGGAGAGCAACTGTTGAAGATGAAGTAAGTGGCTGGCGTGGGCAACAGGGATGCAGCTTTCTGGTTGATCTACATAGAAAAGAACAGCCAGTTATTCCAGTAACCTTGTTTTTTATCCAGAGAATAATTTGAACTAGTTCTTAAAAACAGGAAGTAGTTGCAGTAGTTGGTGTCTGCAAGGTTGTACCAGCTTTTGGTTCCATCAGTAGGAGGTTTTTACCTACTGCTAAATCTTTTTTTAGAGTTCACTGAGGGACTCAGGACCCACACCTATTTTTTTGTTGTTTTTTTTTTTATTCTGTTCTTAGCACTGCTTTGCTAGAAAAGTAAGGAACGTTTGTAGTAAGAGGGGTTATCTCGTGCTGGCTCACAAATTTTTTTTTTTCTCTTAACCATGTCTATTGCTCCTGTAGGCGGCAGTATGAACTGAAGGGGATTCCTTCTTAAATTGTTTGGTGTTTCATGCAGCACTTTAAGCTGCAGACAGTCCCCAGTTCTGTTGTTTTTCTTGGGCCTTTTTACATTGGTTTGCAGTGTTGTCCACTCCTGAGTTGGATTGTTTTTGGAAGTCCTGAAGTTTAAGACATTTGCGTGCAGTTTCCAATTGTTATGTTGGGTCTGTTAGCGATTGTTGTTGTGTGTTGCCCACCTTTTATTAGGACTACTTTATGTCTCAACAGTGACAGAATTCCCGTGTCCCTTAATGGACAAGAAAGAAAATGGTATTTTTGTTTTCGCCCTAAAATTTTTTTTTTTTTTTTTTTTTTTTTTTTTTTTTTAAGTCCTTTAAAGGAACATAGTTTCCCACCCCTCTGTGTTTATGATCAAACTATTGGTACTAATTTGTTACAAAACTGAGGCATTCCTCTTCTCCAAGGGGGTTATCCTGGGCTAGTCTACAAATTTTTTTTTTTTTTTTTTTTTTTAACGTGTCCAGTGCTCCTGTAGGCGGTAGTATGAACTCAAGGTGCTTCCATCTTAAAAAGTGCTACTAAACACACAACAGTAAAATTGGTCTGTATATGCAGTAAAGCATGCTTGTTATACTCACTGTGGAACCTAAGGGGTTGTGTTAAAAGGATGTTTGATCCTATCTTCTCTGATCCTCGCCTTCTTCCATAGTCCCCAATCCATCTGCTGATAGAACAGAGCCTTTGGGGCAAGCTGCACATGCTTAATTTGGTGTGTACTGCTAGAGAGGTTTTTTGGTCCTTGGGAGAGTGCATGTGATCAGCACAGGGCCAATCAGTGCTGTCCAGACAAAGGGCCAGGAGTGCAACCTTCTAGGACAATTCAGGGGGAGGATGAAAACTCCTCCTACAAGTTTTAACCAGTTCTGCAGGGCATTAATAGAAGTCACAAGACTGCTTTAACTGCTGATGAGAAAAGGTATTTAGCAGCTTATTTACTAAAATAATTAAATTTCCTTGTTCTGTGTACTGTAGGAGACCAGATATAATGAATGCAGAGTCATGGGTTTAGTAACACTTGAAGTTGTTAGGTGGTTCATGCAGCACTTTAAACTGCAGACAGTCCCCCAGTTCTGTTGTTTTTCTTGGGCCTCTACTACGTTGGTTTGCCTGTTGCCCACCCCTGAGTTGGATTGCTTTTGGAAGTCCTGAAGGTTAAGACATCTGCATGCAGTTTCCAGTTCTTCTGTTGGGTCTGTTAGGGAGTGTTGCTGTGTTGCCCACCTTTCAGTTGGACTACATTTTTATGTCTCGGCAGTGACTGAATTCCTCTGTCCCTCAAAGGACAAGAAAGAAAATGGTATTTTTGTTCTCGCCCTAAAAAAACTTTCTCTTGAGTCCTTAAAGGAACATAGTTTCTACCCTCTGGGTTTTATGATCATGCTCCTGGTACTGCTTTGTTACAAAACTGAGACATGCTTTTAGTCCAAGAATTATCCTGGGCTAGCCTACAATTTTATTTTATTTTTTTCTCAGTATCCAATCATCCTGTAGGCAGGAGTATAAACTGTAGGTTAAGACGTTGTGTCCCTCAAAGGGGTAGTAAAATGGTTTGAACACCTATTGGGGTGTCGGTCACTTTAAAGGAGATTTTCCTTTTAACTTTCTGCCTTAAGTTACCACAGGGACGAAGAAAGTTGGAGGTGATCTCTCAAAAAAAAAAAAAGGGAAAATCTCCACTTAGTTGTCACTCTAACAGATTTCTCCATTGGAAGATTTACATTTTAATCCCATTACAAGTACAACTCAAAATTTTAGAATGTTTTCACTTTCAATAAATTTTTGTTGAAATAAATTTGTAAAATGTACATTGGTTACCCCTATCGTGTACTGATAGGAGGACAAGGTCAAAGACTTGTAAGTCAAGGGTTAGGGTTATAATACATACCATACATTAACTGCGGTAGACAACAAAACATTCGTCATGACAAATGTACCTTGACCACTTTTTAACAAAGAAACCGTAAGAATAACAGAAGAGTCCACACGTCTGTATCACAAAAACAGGCGTAGATGCATGAAGTGGCATTATGCAAGCTTCATTGTTCAACAGACAAACAAGAAAATACATTGGGACAGATCTCAATTCACTGATCATCCTTGCGGGTGAGCCCAGAAAAGAAATAAGAGGGAAATTAAAGAGAAATAAAAGTGAAGTGGACATCAGGATCGCCCAAACCTGAGCCTCAGGAGCTCGGTGTTTATAAGATGTATAGCTGATGGTTGTGAAGAGCCAGTGAATACAGTTTTCTTAAAATTTAACAAACTTCACTTTTAACTGTTATGTAACAAGATGCCAGGGAACATTTTAAAATATACCCCCACCTATTGCTATGTAATCTGTTATCCTCTTTGCCTTTCAAGATAAGTTGATGCAATGCTTGCTATAAATGACATGAGTATGTTGCTCAAGATATCTATAACATATTAAAGTAAACGTCCATTTAGTATATAACAAGAATGCAATAAGCCCCTCTCCATAGGGACATCTGTATCATCATATATGCTTCAATCTGGTCAAGGAAACACAGGGGATCCACCATCACCAACACCAAAAAACTCTGCCCTCTTGCCAGAAGAAGTTGACCCCAAATTACGAACGGGCCAAAATGCGCAATGCGAATTCCCAAGGAAATGGCATAAACCAGGATATATGTTAACTTGAAAGAAGCAGAGATGGACCCCCGTTGTTCAAGGATAAGCACCTGTAGACCCAATTCCAGCAGCAAACCATGTTCAGAATATTGATAGCTGGCCAAAACTTGAACTTCAAAAGTAGATGAAAGAATTAAACCTGTAAAACATGAATTCCCCTCACAGAGGACAATTCAATTCCAAAGGCAGAAAAAACTTCATAGTGTAGTATTTCCAAAAAGATTTATTGACTTAAAGCATAGTATAAAACGTACATCAAAAAGTAAAAAAAAAAACAGCATGTCACCATAACAATGGATGGTAACATTTCCTAACAGACCCAGAAGAACTGGAAACTGCATGCAGATGTCTTAACCTTCAGGACTTCCAAAAGCAATCCAACTCAGGGGTGGGCAACACAGCAAACCAACGTAGAGGCCCAAGCAAAAAAAACAACAGAACTGGGGACTGTCTGCAGTTTAAAGTGCTGCATGAAACACCTAACAACTTAAAGTGTTACTAAACCCATGACTCTGCATTCAAACCATAAAGATGGCCACCATGTTTCGGTACATGCTGACGTCACACATTCTGACTCCTCCCTATGCGTTTCATCATCAGTGACGCCATCAGGGGCATGGCCAGAGTCAGGACGCAAATGCTTTATATAGGGAGGAGGGAAGCTATCTCCTCCCACAAAGCAGGGACCGGAACAAAAGAAGGGGATGCCTAGCATAGAGGCCAAGCCCTCCCATCACAGGAACAGAAACAGGGAAGCCTGTCATAGAAGCCAAGCCCTCCCATACATATTGCCAGTACCTATATACTTAGAATAATTATTCACGTCAACACTAGGCAACATTATTATAAAAATATATAGAAACAAAAACAAAGGATAAAATATATTTTAATATGAATAAAAAAAATTAGAATAAAAAATATATAAAAAAAAGATATATGGAAACAAACACGAACAGTGCAGTACCTTTTAGTGGCGCCATCTTGTGTACAAAAAAAAATCATAATACAATTATCAGCACAAAACTAATCTAACATAACACAAGTTACAAAAATGATATAAAATTTGTATAATTCACCTTAAAAAAATAAAATAAACATCTTTATTAAATAAAAAACTATTAACTATTGTTGATAAAGGCGTTGACATCCCATTCAATATTGAGACCATGGGGAATAAAAAATTTTAAAATGTAGATCCACCACACCTCCAATTTTGTAAATTTCTCACTTAATATGATTACCCCTCCCAGTTCTTGGAAAATGTATCAATGTTGATAAATAACATGCCCTCAGGACTATTATTATGGTGAAGAGCAAAGTGTTTAGACACACTATGGTTAGGAAAACCTTTCTTTATTTTATTAGTGTGCTCATTTACCCTAATTTGAAAAGTCCTAACTGTACGTCCTGTATATTGAAACCCACACGGACATTGAATCAGATAAACTACATTTTTGGTGGAACATGTAATGAAGCTCTCAACCCTAAATGATTTGTTAGTGATGGTAGAATGCAAATGATAAATTTTTCTATTTTTGCACACATTATACAGTGCAGGAAATAAGTATTTGATCCCCTGCTGATTTGGAATGTTTGCCCACTCTCAAAGAAATGATCAGTCTAAAAATCGAATGGTAGGTGTATTGTAAGACTGAGAAACAGAATAGCAACAAAAAATTCAAAAGAAATGCATGTCTAACAAATTATGCACTGATTTGCATGTTCATGAGGGAAATAAGTATTTGATCCCCGATCATTCAGCAGGATTTCTGGCTACCAGGTGTCTTTCATACAGGTAACAAGCTGAGCTTAGAAGCAGTCTCTTAAAGGGAGTGCTGCTAATCTCATTTTGCTACCTGTATAAAAGACACCTGTCCACAGGTGCAATCAATCAGATTCTAAACTCTCCACCATGGCAAAGACCAAAGAGCTGTCCAAAGATGTCAGGGACAAGACTGTAGACCTACACAAGGCTGGGCTGGGCTAGAAAACTATTGCCAAGCATCTTGGTGAGAAGGTGACAAAAGTTGGTGCAATGATTCGCAAATGGAAGAAACACAAAACAACTGTCAGTCTCCCTAGGTCTGGTGCCCCATGCAAGATCTCACCTCGTGGAGTGTATAGTAAGTGAGAAAAAACAAGGTTAAAGGATAAGTTCACCTTTCATAACATGTTATATATTACACCCATATTCAGGGTGTAACATGCTACGATCAGACCTGTCCTCGATGCCTGCTTTGACAACTAGCGGGTGATCTTCTCCCCCCAAATTTAAAAAAAGTGGCTGTGCGGGTCTCCACTCACACTGCTGCGTCACGATTGTCCTGTCACCATATTTGTTTGCCCATTCATCCCGGATTTACAAGCAGACAGATATGCAGGAGACCTGCATGGCACCAGCGATCTGCTGAACGCTGGTTCAATGGTTTACAGGCTCCTGTAGACAAAAATAATAAATTCACATTTTTCTTACATGCAAAAAAGGTGCATTTATTATTTTTTTTTTCTAAAAGGTGAACTTATCCTGTAATTTCAAAGCTTGGTCAGCACTTTTTTTTTTTTTTTCCCTCAAACTTCTTTTATTGTTGAAAATTAAAACTGGGATCAATGCATACAGGATATTGAAGAAAAAAATACAATCATCATAGTATACAGTGCTAATCCTTGGATGCGCAGATCCAGGGACATATGAAAACAACAATAAATATACATAACAATGCAATGTAGGGAGCCATAACAACAGTAACAAAACATAATGTTAAAAAACCATAAACAGGTCACCTGGGGCACAATAGTAAGGATCTATGTGTCTGCATACTCACTACCTAAGGGCTATGTGACGGTGTCTACATAGGAGTAGGGTATCACACTTGTAGTAGCCTGTACATTATCAATTGAGATGGGGCAAGCCCAGGTATATCTAGCTGGCCTTGCCAAACAGCCTGAAATTTTCGATGGGCATTACGATGTTGGTATGTGAGTTTTTCTCTGAGTAGTGAATTAACATTAGTCTGTCCATTGCTTTTGGTTGGTGGGATAGAAGACAGCCACTGTCTAGCAATTAGTTTCCTGGCCAGATATAATAGTCTAGAAACCATAGTATACTCTCCGGGTTGTAGTGCCTCCTGATCTAAAGCACCCAGTAGGCAAGTTAAAGGATTCTGAGGAATAGTGTATTGCGATGCTAGGGAAATTGTAAGACCTCTCTCTTCAGTACCTGTTCGATTTTGGGCAACACCAGATCATATGGATAAAATCACACTCGTGTACCTTGCATCTCAGGCAATTAGGGGAGTCTCTCCTGCCCCACCGGTGTAGTTTCACAGGAGTCCTATAAGCACAGTGGAGAATAAATAATTGTGATAATTTGTGAGGAGAGAAAGAGATCACGGGTATGGACTCCAGGGCAGCATCCCTGGTGTCGCCAGCAATCTCCCCAATATCTTGGGTCCATTGTGCCCTACTGCACAAATTGGCGTGCTCCAAGACTTTTGAAAGTTGGAGAAAGTGTGTAGGTTTTTTTTAAAGACTACATACAATAAAAAGAGAAATGGAGAATTTACCTTGTCTTATGAGCTTTACCACACTGCATTTGCATTTTGTTTTGCGTATACTTTAACTATGTTAATCTATACATTTGTGAATAATACAAAACCTAATTATTTTCCTTTTCAGGTGACTCGAAATACCACTCCAATGTATAGAACTCCAGAAATTATAGATTTATATTCAAATTTTCCAATTGGAGAAAAGCAAGACATATGGGTAAAGAATATAGCTTTGCCTTCTTTTTACATTACATTCTTGGTAATACAACCTAATATGACAAACGTATCAATTTTTGAAGTAAAGATTAATTATTTAGGGAAACAATTGATCTGCTCATATGGTTTTTTTAAATGTTTATAAAGATAGCACAACGTCTAAATAATCAATATTTTTTTTTAAAGAAAAGGTTTCCAAACTGGGATTGATTCACCAATTTCAAAATGTAAAAGAAAACTGTTTACCAACAGCAAACAATACAGATGAAGCCTAAATGAAAAAAGTATCCCTGCAAAGAACTACAGCCCTCAGAAACCTTCCTATACTTTTTGAAAGCAAACCTGTGCTTTGTCCAAGCCCCTATGCTTGGTAGCACATACAGTATTCACCTTTTTCCTTTCCTCCCTTGACAGCCTTTTCAGAGGATCTAGGAAAGGACGCCCTGTGTATTCTGAGTTGCCCTAGCAGTGGCTTACACAGGACTGGGGAAGGGGACATTAAAGCAGATACTTGGTTCCCAGCAAGCCACCCTCCCACACTACAAACACCCACAAGCAGGGGTACTTGCTACCTATTCATGACCATGTACATGTTGGTCATGAAGCACTTTGGTAAATTCCATTTCCCATTCTCTGTCTTCTAATCAATGCTAAACACCTGCTGTCGTTTAATGTTTTCCCCTTGACAAAATCTGAGTGCTGGCCAGCAAGTCATCTCTACAGTCTACACTGATCTCCCTCAATTAGCAGTTAAATTAATAGTCCACAGCGTAAACCCATTTAATTAAAAAAAAAAAAATGCAAACCTTCATAAGGCATCTCTTGGGAAAGAGGGTTGGGATCATCTCAGACTAAAGAATAATGGGCAAATTCCTGGTCATGCATAACGAGTAGGTAACACCAGCTAGTACCTTTTTTACTGTTTTTAGTTGTAAACTCAGTTGCTCAAAACAAAGCAGGATGTACAGTAAATACAGAGCCAGACCACTATGGTTAAAACAGGCTTGTCTTCATCAAATGTGACCTAACATGTTAGTAATGGTATTTTATTCAGAGGCTGCAGGACAGGTATAAATGTGCAATTCCAAGGAATATTATGCTTTAAGCTGTAAACATAATTCTTTAGACCACTTGCCATTGCCACTTGTAAAATAGTCACACATACCGCTAGTTGGATCAGCTACAGTGGTTAGCAGGTTTCCTTATAATTAAGAAATGGTGCAATCTCCAAAGTTACAGAATTATGTTTAATGCAGCCATGATTCATTCTTAGTACAGTATTTCCTTACTAGTGTCCTGTCATTTTTGCAAGCAAGTAGAATTTTAAAGTTAAAAACTTAATTTTTTGTTCTGTTTTCCCCTTTAGGCACTTGGTTGTATTTTATACCTCTTGTGCTTTAAACAACATCCTTTTGAAGATGGAGCAAAGCTGCGTATCGTTAATGGGAAAATATTCAATACCATTGAATGACACCAGATACACAGTCTTTCATGGACTTATTGGTGAGTGAAATATTAAACGGCTATATTACGCCTGTGTAAAAAAGACCTTAAAGGTGTAGGAAGGTGCGGGGAGAGATGGAGATGCTGGGCCAGCACAGAGGGTAATTAGATACTCCCAGAAGAGAAGTGTCTTATGACTTGCAAGGGTACTGTGCTTAAGGAATTGACTCTCCTGGAACAGGCAGATTTTCTAGCAAGTTAAAAAGCACATTTCAAGTCAATAAAAAATGATTTATGGAAAGGAAAAACACCCCAAGTAACTTTTCAAAACACTTGATTTTTCTGTGCTTTTACCTGCAGTTTTGACAGGGTCACTTTAAAGAACACGTACATTCTTGTTTTTACAAGTGAAAAGAGACATTTTATGTTCATCTATTTCCCCATTTAACTAGAATAATTGAATGCATGGTTATATCACCTTGCACAGTCATGGCACCTTACCCTGCCTTATTTAGTAAGCCCAAATAAGGAAAACTCGCTTCTTACAGGGGTTGTCAATAAAAGTATAGGAAAGTCAAAATATTCCCATTACCTGTAGCAACCTGTATGATCAAAGTGTAATTTAAGGGCTGGCAAGAAAATGTAAGCAACGCATTTGGTATAGATAACTTAACTTTTCCTTTCCCTTCCTTTGTTTTATGGAACAACCACATGATCAAATTGTTTCATAATGTAAAACAGATGCTGAAAAGTTTGATTATAGCTTCTTTATAGGCCAATAAAATGTAGCCTGTTGGTTTTCCGAAATGCCCACTTTCACCTATTTTATGAAATGTTCAAGAAAAGAGCTTTTTTTAAATGCATCTTTGGTAAACCCATTTCTGGTTTTAAACGTTGATACTCTGGCTTACCTTATTTATAGCCATCAGAAATATACAAAGTGAACCATTATTATCACTTACCTGTTTAAATCTGGGTAAGCTAGCTTTTCTTTCAGCTATCATTGCTTGATTTTCTTTCACAGAATCTATGTTAAAGGTAAATCCAGAGGAAAGATTGTCTATAACCGAAGTAATTGGTCAGCTTCAAGAAATCGCTACAGCAAGAAATATAAACCCAAAATCACCTATTACAGAGGTAGCTGGACATTCCATTCTATAAAGTCCTTTTATATGCAGTAAACATACTTTTATGTTCTCTAGCAATCCAGCATAATTTCTGTTGTTTTCTGCAAGTTGATGTCTAAAGATAAACTGTATATCTCCGTAGTAAGACTTCATTAAAATGGGTGGAAAGTAGACATCCAAGCATCTAGTGGGACAATTCAGAAAGAGCTATAGTGGGTATGATGTATAAATTACAGTTGTTGCCTAACAAATTTAGCTGTCATTTGGCTGGACAATACACACAGATATGTGCTTGGCTGCAAAAAAAAGCCTAAAAAAAGAAAGCTAATCAGTCATCACATGTAAGGACTGGTGGTCTGCACTGTATTACCTTTTTGACTTTGCTAAGATATGCTTAAATTCAGATCTGTTGCCATCCCAGCAAAGTTATATTTATCTTTCTAAAGGCCAGTTTGGGTATAAAATATTTGTTACTTCCAAGGCTTTGTATTAGAAATCAGTTGTAATTTCTCCTATTGACAGCCCATGCATTACAGCAGACGAATGCAAGGCAACTGTGTAGAGGCGCTCCTTAGAACAATGCGTGCATTGCCTTGCCCCATATCATCCAGAGCAACATGACATTTACAGACCTTGTAGTGGGCAGACCTTGGCTGCTGGGTTTTTCATAATCTCTCTCCAGATGCATGCTTGTATTGCAACTCTGCAGCCACACAGTTTGGCAGGAGCCAGTTCCTAGAAATGTTTAAGGTATAGAATTAGACCTCGTTCACTCGAGATTTTTTTTATTTGTTTTTTTTTTTTATTTAAACTTTAATTTGTTTTTCCAACACGAGATGTTTTAATTTGTATCCCATGCAGGGCAGTCTTTATCAGCATGGTGATGCACAGGGGTTGAGTGCACCCCATGTCAACAGTTCCGTATCTGTCAATTAGGATGCAGCAGCTGCACAGACACAGCTGCTGCTCACAATACCACATCCATGCAGGATGCACCCGCACGGATATCATATTAGGAGCAGCAGCTGTGTCTGTACAGTGGGACAGCTAGCATGGGGGGATGTATGCAATATCTGTGCATCTCCATTCCAGTAAAGCATGGCCCTGCATGGTGCATGGACTAAAATGCCCTGTGTGATTGAGGCCTTTACATGCACATGAAATTTTCAGGAAACCGTTATTCCAGTTTGACTCGGTCACATGCCATTTGTTAGATTACTAAAGTTCAGTATTAAACTAGTTTAAATGCCCTTTAAAAAGGACATATCCTGATATGCTGTTTCAAAGAGAGATTTGACCATTTATTATAGGGTGCTGTGGTCATCTCCACAACCTGAAAGAACTGACATTAAAGTAAAATACAATGCAGAGGTATGAAACTTGCTTGTTGTGTTTTTGTGAGAGTTCAGTTTTTCAAGAATTTTGGCCAGTCTAGGAACAACACAAGCGCTGAATAGTTTAGTTTAAAGTGATTCTAAATCTACTTTTTTTCATTAAAATAATAAACATGTCATATTTACATGCTCTATGCAGTGGTTTTGTACAGAGAAAGCCGTTTGCTATGGGGGCACTGATGCATGCTTGCTCCCGAGCCAGCTCTGTGTATCCATTGATTTCCTCACCCTGCCTCCCACTCCCTCCTCACTGGCTGTGATAACAGCAGGAGCCAATGAAAGCTTTGTTTTCATTATGTGCCTTATTTTGGACCAAGTGATATGATCACTGGGTCTCTGTGCTTCTTGTTGGATTGTAGACCATTCATGGCTGATGGGAGGAGCAAGTATGGTGCTGTACATAGCTTCCTGAAAACATCACAAGTAAGTTAAACCTGTTTATCTCTTCTCCCCTGAGGGACACAGGCTAATGAATAACAAGCAACCAAGTGTTATACTGCCATCTGCAAGTCTAGGCCCCTAAAGGCTATAAGCCCTCACACCTCCTCAGTTATGCTTGGTGTCTTTGGGAGACTGTCCATTCTACTTTATTTTGCCCATAAATTTTAAGATTTTCCACTATCTTCTTATGGAGACTGTTGTAACTGTCTGGGAACAGTGTGAGGAAATTCCTATTCTTGCTCTTTTTATATGCTGGTCTTCCAATATACTGTATAGGATTAAAGTTAAAGACTGGGAATGTGAGTCATAACATCAGTATCTAGACTGAAACGTCTTGCTGTTTACTTTTGTGTCCGGGACTCTCAGTGCTTTTACACTAGAACTGTTGACGGTCACTTATTAACCGCTTGCCGCCCTGCCACTGTGTATATACGTGTGCAGGGCGGCAGTGGAGCGCAAAACCACGTTTAAAAACGGGTTCCGCGCTCCCGACACTTTCGCCGGCAGGGGGGGCGCGCGCGCTCCCGCCGACCCGCGGGTGATCCGATTCAATCCAGGAGGGATCAATCATTAGATTTCAGCTAGTGATTTCTGGCTGAAATCGGATGATCGGTCCCTGTCCTATCCTGTCCTGTGTTGATATTTACACAGGGCAGGATATGATGTCATTCTTCTCTGCCTGGACACATTCCGTTCCAGACAGAGAAGAAGAGACATTTAAACGTGAGTAAAACAGCACACTGACAGTTAGAGCACAGTCTAGGACACACTTAACCCCCTGATTGCCCCCCCCAGTTAACCCTTCACTGCCCTGTCACCAGTGTCACTGATCAGTGAAGCGATTTTTATTGATCACTGTATCAGTGTCGCTGGCGACTTCCGATAGTGCTAGCGCCCCTCCCAGATAGCGCCAGTTTGCCCCCCAGTACACCAATAAGCCATTTAACCCCTTAATTTCCCCCACCCCCCCAGTTAACCCCTTAACTGCCCTGTCACCAGTGTCACTTATCAGTGAAGCGATTTTTACTGATCACTGTATCAGTGTCGCTGGCGACTTCCGATAGTGTTAGCGCCCCTCCCAGATAGCGCCAGATTGCCCACTAATACACCAGTAGTCCCGTCTAACCCCTTGATCGCCCCCCCCCCCCCCCCCGAGTTGACCCCTTCACTACCCCTCTCACCAGTGTCACTGATCAGTGAACCAATTTTTACTGATCACTGTATCAGTGTCGCTGGCGACTTCCGTTAGTGTTAGCGCCCCTCCCAGATAGCGCCAGATTGCCTGCTAATACACCAGTAGTCCCGTCTAACCCCTTGATCGCCCCCCCCCCCCTCCCCGAGTTGACCCCTTCACTGCCCTGTCACCAGTGTCACTGATCAGTGAACCAATTTTTACTGATCACTGTATCGGTGTCGCAGGCGACTTCCGTTAGTGTTAGCGCCCCTCCCAGATAGCGCCAGATTGCCTGCTAATACACCAGTAGTCCCGTCTAACCCCTTGATCGCCCCCCCCCCCCCCGAGTTGACCCCTTCACTGCCCTGTCACCAGTGTCACTGATCAGTGAACCAATCTTTACTGATCACTGTATCAGTGTCGCTGGCGACTTCCAATAGTGTTAGCGCCCCTCCCAGATAGCGCCAGTTTACCCGCCAGTACATCAGTAATCCCATTTAACCCCTTGATCGCCCCCCCCCCCAGTTAACCCCTTCACTGCCCTGTCACCAGTGTCATTGATTACAGTGAACAGATTTTTACTGATCACTGTATTGGTACTGGTGACTTGGTACTGGTGACTTCCGATAGTTTTAGCGCCCCTCCCAGATAGCACCAGTTTGCCCGCTAGTACACAAATAATCACATTTGACCCCTTGATTGCCAGGAACACGCTTACTTGCACGCTAAACCTTCATTGCTAGTATAGTGTCTGATTGGATCAATATCTTTGATCAGATCAGCGCTATACCAGCATTCACATTACTTTAGTATATCCCCAAAAACGCAGTGTTCAAAAAACGCAGGATCAGCCCCAACACCTGCCAGCACCTGCGTTTAGCCCCTACGCCCCCCCCCTTCTCCCCCGGCAAGTGCAGTGTCAGTAGATAACTGTCACTTGATACATATTACACACACAAAACCGCAGTGTTCACAGAATCAGGCCTGATATCTGTTAGCACATGTCGGTAAATTCTTTGTAGCGGTTCAAGCAGTCCCTGACAGCCAGGCGCTCTTTTTCCCGTGAGTCGCACTAGGTACCTGTAAATTTAGTGGCCAAAATGTCTAAGCAAAGGTACACTAGTGAAGAGGCCTATAGGATTCTGAGCATGTCAAGTGAGAGCGAAGGGGAAGACTCACTGGCAGAACCAGGCTCAGAATACGAACCTATAGACAGCAGCGGCACCCTGACAGCTAGCTCAGACGACGAGGAAGTGGTCCCTGCTAAGGTCAGGCGTACCCGATCCCATTCACAGGTTGCTGAGGTGGTACAAATGCATGATGACTCTCATATGCAGCAGAGTGCCAGTACTAGTGCCGCAGTATCTTTTGGTGAACTGGCGAGCACCAGCGGCCTAGTACGTCCTGGTCGTAGGCATACCAGCACTGCAGTATCACTTGGTGACGTGGCGAGTCCCATAAGTGCAGTACAAGCTGGTGCGGTGGCGAGCACAAGTAGTGTCCCGCGGCCACCAAGAATTCACAGACAGGCCCGTAGAGCCCCTAGTGTCCTTCCGGATGTGCTTGCAAATCCCGATTGGCAGCCCACAAATTCTGCAGCACCCGTACTTCCCCCATTCACTGCCCAACCCGGAATTCAGGTGGAAACAGCAAATTTAAATACTCCCCTTAATTTTTTTGAGCTGTTTTTCACAGAAGATCTTTATGCATTGATTGTGGATCAAAGCAATTTATATGCACGCCAAATTTATCGCCGCCAACCCAAATTCAAACCTTGCCAGACCATTCGCATGGAAACCCATTACGGTTTCCGAATTTAAAGTTCTTTTGGGCCTAACCCTCAACATGGGCATTAATGATAAAAATCAATTGCGGTTGTATTGGTCCACCGACCCTCTTGTTCACATGCCCGTGTTCTCTGCTGCCATGGCCAGGCATAGATATGAGAGTATAATGCGTTTTATGCACTTCTACGACAACTCACTCAGTCGTCCTCGGGGT